CTCGCGCCAGGGACCGGCGTCAATTTGATTTTCAGACAATTTCCCAAAGTGCTTCCAGAACTCCAAAAAATATGCGATGAGTCCACGATCCCCCCCACCACCACCCCGCCCTCCATCGCCGCCCCCGCCGGGGGGGCCTCCTCCTCGTGGAGGACTACACCGGGCAACGCCTAAACGGGGTAACGGACCCGCGATGATAACCGACAGCCCGCAACGACCGGAACCGAAAACTGCGCGGCTGTTTCTCTGCAGCGCGAAAAAACTGCACTGCGTGTTTGCTGCAGTTACTGCGGAGAAACTGCAAACGAGCTCCGCATGCCGGGGAACGGAGGGCCCAAAACAAAAATGCAGCGCAGCAGCCGACAATTTCAAAGCGGACAGCACGCGGCAGGCGCTGCGTTAAACGCGAGGGCCAAGGAAAAACTGCACTCCAACAAAGTGCGCGGTTGTAGCCTCGAACTGGTCATTTCCTGTTGCCCCGCGCGCCGCTGCCCCGCCACCGCTTCCCAGACCTCCGCCGCCGCCCCCCCCTCCGGCGGAGCCGTCGGCAGGGTTCGGCGGGCCTGGCGTCTCATCCGATGCGATGGGCACTGGGGGAGAAGAAAGTTCTTCTGGCGGCTGGGGGAATTCGGGGCATGTTGGCGCTTCGCGACATGAGTGCGCCGCGCGTTCTAGCGGATTCCTCTCGGGCCCTCTCGTGCCCGACAGTCTAGATGCGCCCTCAATCGCTTCAACTGGTTTGGCTCTCTCCCATTCATCGCGTTCCCTACGTATATGTATCAGGACTTTCTTCTGTTCTTGAATGAGCTGAGCCGCGCGCATCCGGCCTTGTCGCAGCTGAGAACGCAGGCGTTCTTCCTCCTGGCGCCCTCTCTCTGCGCCCGCTTCGGCCTCCATATTGATCCGAAAGCAATGTCCACGACGCATCGCCATGGGGTCGATGTGGGATTGCAGCGGGGCGTCGCACCCGGAGCGCACTCCGACGTCTTAAGGCTGCTTCAAGCATTGCATTTCTGCGCATCCCCTAGAGCCATGGCAGCGCGCACCTGCCCCCCACCCCACCCCCCGGGGCACGGCGCGAACAACTTTCTGGTGCCGAAGGCTATTGGGGGGTCGATCTGCGCCAGGGGCCAGACCTGATACACCGCCGACATCTTCCCATCAATGCGCGCGGTCGTGCACTGTGGCTCACGGAGAACAAGCCGAGTGCTACGTGCCTACCATGCGCACTTCGGTCTTTGCCTGCTCGGCCTGGTCAGCGGCGTCGCGCTCGCGGAGAGCCGCCTGTTGCGCCGCCGCCCTCGCTCTTCCCCCGCGCGCTGAACCAAGGCAGTGGTCTGCGACGCTCTCTCTCATGCATTGCGCGTTCTACCGATCGATGAGGCTATATTGCGTCGCATTCGCCTTCCCGCGGCATTCGCTGCATCCGGGCTTTCGTCGCGACCATGCATCGAACTTCTCGGCTTCTCGTTCCCCCGAGCTTTACTTCTGGTAGTTCGCCCAGCTCCCCGCGTCGATCGACCTCCGTCAAAGAGCCCCCGGGCTGTTTCTGAGGCCGCCTGTCGGCTCATTTGCGTTTGCGTTGCGCGGCGCGACGGAGAGGCCCCTCTTCGGCGCGGCCCCCCCGAATGCGCTGGTCTGCCTCGATGATGCGCGCCTGCGTTGCCAAGTCACCGCGTGGCCTCATTTCGCTGGCCGACCTGTTCTCCGCCATTGCCTGTTGCCATTCACCATTCAAGATGGGCGAAGCGGCGGCAATCGCGCTCCCCCATGTCGAGGCGTTCGGAGCAGCAGTAAACGGAGGCTGCAATATTGGCAAGCGAGCGAGCATCCTGCACGCGCTGGTCGGTGGCACGGTCCATCCGCACTGCGCGCCTTCCCCGGGCACCCAGTCTCTTTCCATGGATAACACCCCGGGCCCCCTGGGCCGCCTCTCGATGCATCGCGCAACCTGAATGCCAAAGGAGATCATGAGAAAGATACTCTGGCACTGCTGCGCGGGGGCGGATTTGGAATCGGAGGGGTCCAGGATTCTGATCCTCAGCTGCAAATCATTCTTCATCGGCCGCGCGTCCTGCCGCGTCGGAGACTGGGACTGGGGAATATCTGTCCGCGCTGACATCTCCAGGCGCCTTGCGACGCTTCGCCCCATGTCTCCCCTGTGATATATCTTACGTGATGAGCTTGAAACGCAATTGGGAACGTCTTGAATGTCATTTTTGTCTTCATCTTCCAGGATGGCGGATCGTTCGCGTGCCGTTTCGCCCCCTTTCTCTGTCGGCTGGATCAATGCCGATCCGCCGTCTACTATTGGAACGGATGGATCATGGAGCAAGGAGACAAGGAGAAAACAAATACTCCAGGAGGGATGTGGACAGGTTCGTCCGTCAGAGGCACATTAGTCTGATCATTGGCGTTGTCCACAGGAACCAGTGCGTTACCACCGCTGACTGCAGTCGTCCGCGCATCTGACCGATCAGAAGCCTTCGGCTGGTCGCCAATCAGTCGCCAGAGGAGCGTGATTCCTGGCGAACGTGGGATTCGATGGTGATGGTGAATTACGGGTCTCATCGCTCATGATGGGTATATCACATGGGCTCTGTCGTATTCAACAAATTGTTGAATGCTAAGAACCCCAGACCAGCTTAACGGATTGACTCCGTTCAACTGATACGTAAGAAAAAAACGACGACGAGACGATCCAACTCCGGTTTACCCTCGCGCGCGCAGGACTCGTGCAACTTTACAGTTTCAGATTGAGCCGGCGTCGGTGGCGGAGCGGCGGCGAGCACAAGGAGCGAGCAGGGAGAAAACATTAACAACTTTCACGACTGCCCGTCACGTTGTGCTGCGCGTAGATACCGTGTATAGCGGACTCCTGGTGTAGTTGGGCTGGGAAGTATATGCAAGGTGGCGTATGCCATCGCGCCCCCCACCACGTCCCAGCACCTCTACTCCACGTCAGTACTCGATATCCCCCACGCGACAAATCCACGCTCGAAACCGACCCACACCCTCCATCGCACTCCCCACCACATCGCGATACCCTCGCCCGACGAGAATCCAATTCTTCGGACACCCACACGACCAATTACGACCCGAAACACATTCCAGCACCCTACCCCACAAGAGCTCAATTCTTGGGACATCCGACGCAACGCATTCTGGCCCCAAACCTACCCACACACACCCCACCGCGCCCCTCACCGCGCCCCCGCACCCCCGCACCACGAGAGCTCAGTTCTTGGGATTTCCCACGCGACAGATTTTGGCTTCAAACCTGCCCACATACCCCACGGAGCCCCCCACCGCGCCCCAGCACCCCCACCCCACGAGAGCTCGGTTCTTGGGACCCCCCCCCACGACAAATTCTAGCTTGGAACCTACCCGCATTTCCCACAGCGCCATCCACCGCGTCCCGGCACCCTCACCCACCCTCACCCCGCCGCTCACCCTTACCCCATCCACCGCGTCCCCGGAACCCCCCAACCGACAAATTCTGGCCCGAAACCTACCCACACCGCCCACCGCGCCCCCCACCGCGCCCCAGCACCCGCACCTCCTCCTTCCCTTTTCCTCCTTCCCCTCCCCCTCCCCTCCCCCTCCTCCTCCTCCTCCTCCTCCTCCTCCTCCTCCTCCTCCTCCTCCTCCTCCTCCTCCTCCTCCTCCTCCTCCTCCTCCTCCTCCTCTATGTTCCGTAAGTGTTCCGTCGTCTTCGCTTATTTCGCTGTTTTTGGAATCTTGGGCTGCTTTGAGGCCCGAGGACTCCTCGAAGATCGACCCGGGAACGAGCAATTTGTCCGGACGGACCCCAGGAGAGGTCCACGCACAGATTTTAGGCCGATTCTGCCCGACGAGAAAAGGAGGCCGCGGAGGGAAGAGGAGAATGAGGAGGAGGAGGTGGAGAAGGAGGAGGAGGAGGATGAGGAGGGGGAGGAGAGGGAGTATGCAGCAGGGAAGAGAGCGTCATCGAGAATTAGCACAACGCTTCCTACTATCCCCCGACCCCATTGGCGTGTTAGAGGGAAGGAGAGGCCATCAGCCATCACCGAACCAGCCATTCTGCGAACCAGCCAACGGCGAACCAACCAGACATTCATTGGAGACCAGCCATCAGCCAATCAGCCACATCCAGTCAGCCATCGACTAACCAGCGCTTCAGCCAATCGGTATATCAGGCATCCAGTCATGCAATTGACCCCATCAAACCACAGACAAAGCAACGCGGCAACCTACGTCACCTTTTTTCTGGGGTCGGCGGCAGAGGCGGTAGCCTTTAAGAGATATATGTAAGGTGGCGTATGCCTGCGGCGCAAGGCGGTGCATCGCTACCCCTTGTAGCCATCGTTGCGTCTGAATGTCCTCGTAGGGAGGGCACAGCATTGGTATTTTGAGTGTTGGAGGCGGTGGGTGCACCGGTACGGCTGTGTCTGCTGTAGGTAACCATGTGGTGTTAGCTTTGGCCTGTGGTATTGCAGGTGTGTCTGCGGTTGTCCTCCTCCTCCTCCTCCTCCACCTCCTCCTCTTCATCTTCCTCCTCCTCCTCCTGCCTCCCCCGCCTCCTTTTCCTCCTCCTCCTCCTGCTCCTGCTCCTGCTCCTCCTCCACTTCTTCCTCTTGCTTTTCCTCCTCCTCCTCCTCCTCCAATTTCGATCTCCTCCTCCTCCTCCTCCTCCTCCTCCTCCTCCTCCTCCTCCTCCCCCTCCTCCCCCCGTTCCTCTTCCTCCTCCTCTCCTCCTCCTCCTCGTGCAACTCCTCCTCCTGCTCCTCCTCCTCCTCCTCCGCTTCTTCCTCCTCCTCCTCCTCCTCCTCTTCCTCCTCCTCCTCCCTGTACTGTTCCTTCTCCTCCTCCTCCTTCTCCTCCTCCTCCTCCTCTTCCTCCTCCTCCTCTCCCATCTCCTCCGTCTCCTTCTTGTGCGATTCCTCCGTCTCCTGCTCCCCCACTCCCCCGTCATCTTCAGAACCTACCCTTGTGGAGGACGGGTGATCGGCGCCGGCCGCCTGCCGGATCTCGCCCCGCAGCGCCCTCTGCCACTCTCGGAGGGACTCCTGCGCAGACGCGCGCGGGACGGGCCTCGCAGGCGGCTGGTCGCAGGCAGGTGGCCACGTCCTCGTCATCCTCGACATCCTCGTCGTCGTCGTCGTCGTCGTCCTCGTCGTCGTCGTCGTCGTCGTCGTTGTCGTCGTTGTCTTCGTCGTCATCCTCGTCGTCATCCTCGTCGTTGCCCTCCATCCATGTTTTCTTCGCGAGAGCGGCCTTGACCAGGTTGCAACGTGTGCCATACTCAACGCCGGTCTATAATACCAGCAGCTCGACCTCAAACGATAAAGTCGCATTAGCCCTACCACATGTCGTTTCATACGTCCATCTTCCAGATCATACGTCAGCAATTGTACAACTGCAGCTCCGCCAGCGCCCGCCACGAAGCCACCGTCCGAAAAGAATTGCAAAGCGTTTTTGCTCTGGGCAACGTAGCGCACGCACTCTGCCGACAAGTTGCCGCCATCTTGACGAACTTTCAGACAGTAGCCCGCCAAGTGGTCGGCTCAGGTATTTCATTCCTGGGCGCGCGTATCCACAGGTTCCAGGAAGGACGCCTTGTAGCCCCACGAACGCTACACCTTGCTGAGTATGCGGCGGATGCGGCACAATGCATTTCCATAAGCATCATTGTGGATTGCCGTTGTCGAATTAGCAAGCCCAGCCACGGCCAAACTGTCCACGAGAATTCCACTCAAGCTCCAACTGCATCCCTGGTCCTTATTGAAGAACTGCTCCTTGTCGCACCGCTAGACGTGTGGGTCAGGCGGGCCGGGCGCTTCGCCTGAAAATTCGTCGCCGTTGTTGATCCCTGCAACGGCTTTCAAGATGCAGGGCGGGTCGTTCTCAAAATGTAATTCTCGCCTGGGCGCCGCGCACACTCGCCTTAGAAGCTCGCAGCAGCGTCAAGGATGGAGGGCGGCTCCTTTACAAACAGTTGCTCTCGCCTTCGCGCTTCGCGCGTTCGTTCGAAAAGACTGAAGCATGTCTAAGGGTTCGTGAAACCGACATCCCGAACTCTGCGTTCCGGCAATATTTAGGACTGCCAGGACGCAACAGCCACGTTGATCCGTGGCATGGAAGTCCCAGGAAGTGTGTCTGGCACGATTTGGGATTATCCGACTGTTGTCTTTCCATGGGGCACCCCCCTCAATGACAAGACATTCTGGTAGTGACCTAAGAAGAACGAGTTAGGAGAGAGGCTTCATTGCAGTTTCGTTGATTCGTTTTGGTCCTAACCTCCTCCTCTTCTTCCCTTGTCTCTTGTCCGAATGAAGAACTCCTCCCTGTCGCACCCCGACGCGTTGGTAGGGCCGGCCAGGTGTTTCGCCTGAGACTTCCTCACCTCTCAAAATCCTTAGGCTAAAAATTTGCCAGAGATTCACGGATGGAGGGCGGGCTGTTTTCAAAATGAGGCTCTCGCCTCGGCGCCGCGCACACTTGTTTTGAACATTTACAGGAGCTTGATGGATGGAGGGCGGGTAGTCTTCAAACAATGTGGCGCTCGCCTGAGCGCAGCGCACATTCGTCTTCAACGTTTGCAAGAATGTTGCGGATGGAGGGCGACACCTTTTAAAATATTGTGGTTTTCGCCTTAGCGCCGCGCGCATTCGTCTTCAGAGTGTTTGACATGTTCAATGGTTCGTGTGGATGACGTCACAGTAATGGGGCTTGGCACGATACAAGACTGTCAGGGCGCAACTTACGTTGACTCGCGGTGTTCAAGTCCGAGGAACGCTTTTCTGTCACGATTCAGGATCGCCAGGACCCAACAGCAACGATGATTCGCGGCGTTGAGGTCCCAGGAACGGTGTTCTGGTGGCTCGAGATTTTCAGACGATTGTCTTCCAATGGGGCAGTCCCCTCAATGAAGCTGACTCCTCGTAGGGACCTATGGAGATGGAACTTAGGGGACAGTTTATTGCAACCTCGTTGATGGGGTCCCGTCCTCCTCATGGGAACGCGGCTGCAGATAAGCTGGCCGAAGCTGCTGCCAGAGCTGTCCGCACCCCAGCAGACATCAGGACTAAGGCTTTCACGAGCGAGAGCATTGCCTCCGCCGTCCGCATGAGAATTCTAGTGCCACCTTGGAAACTTTAAAAGCCGAGCAGGCCCTGGCGACCGAGGAGCCCCGAGGAACCGAAGTCAGGAATCCTGGGCCCAGGCCACCTGCGCCTGCGGTGTGCAACGAGGATCCCACCGTACATACGTAATCTGAAAACAAGCTCTCTTGTTTGAATGTAGGAGCACTACGACCAAAGCTAGGCGAACGAATTGATTGGATACCCCATGCTTTGACCTGGGGGCTACAGATGGCGTGATTTTCAGGCCGCCCCCCCGTTGCAGGGTGCACATCTGTGGGGGGTGGGCTGATGAAACTCACACGTTACAGTTTCACGCTGGGCTGGGGATTTGGTTCTGTGGCGCCTGCGGGTGTTTTGCGGCCCAACAGTTGGCCCAATTCGGAATGAGGTGCGAGGGCAGGCCTGCAGGTAATCGTGTATATTATCTGAAGGGTATCGAGCGGGGGATCTGGCTTAAAACTTACAGTAAAGCTGACAAGGCCACAAGAGCGGCTCGTTCCTTATAAATCAATATGTAACCGACACACTCGCAATACCCGTAACTCCGTAACTCATCTTCATGATCATGTTCATGTTCATGTCCTGCCTCCTCCTCGTCCTCGTCCTCGTCCTCCTCCTCGTCCGCTGCCTATTCATCCTCATTTTCGCCCTCACTGTCAACACCATCACCAGTATCAGCAGAACCATGATCATCATCACCACCACGCCAACATCATCACATCAGAAATCAAATCGTTGTCGTCATCGTGAACATCACCAACATAATGAAAGCAGACATCGAACTCATCATCACCATCAGCATGTATCACACCGTCACCACCAATACAATCAGCAATCTCGTCCACCTCCTCCCCCTCCCCATATCATCATCGTCCACCCCGTCATCCTCCTCCACTCGTCATCCACCCTTCCTCTCCCTCCTGCTCCTCATCCTCGTCCTCCTCGCCCCCTCCTCCTCCTTTTTCCTCCTCCTCACCATCACACCATCATCAGCATCATCCTCAACAACATCATACGCATCATTATCACCACCACCATCATCACCATCACCATCATCATCATGAACAGCCGCATCATCAGTATCATCATCACAACCACCCTCATCATCACCACCACCATCGTCAATACCATCATCGTCATCATCATCAGCAGCAGCGTCAGCAACACCATCATAAACATCAGAATCATCATCATCAGCATCAGCATTATCATCATCATCATCATCACCATCACCATCGCCATCATCATCCTCATTCTCAGTCTTTTTTCCGTATGAATAGCTCCTCCATGTCGCACCCCCAAGCGTGTCGGCACGGTGGGCCAAGCGTTTCGCCTGAAACTTCACCACCACTGCGATGCGATGCGACCACCGTTGCGGACGACGTCTGGGCCTATTCAAGACCGGGTGGGCGAGGCCGTGGCTTCGGGAATCTGGTGTGTCAGGGCAACATGCAATGCGAGACACATGTGCAAACAATTCTTGGTCTGCTGGTCAACAGCGAGCCTCTTCCGGTTAAGAGCTCGGCGGGCCGCGGAAAACACTAATTAGGGAGACAGAGCACAGGCGGGCGGCGCCTCGGGCGGCCTGAGGGCGGGCCGGGGTGCAGGCGGCGCTGAGGAGCTTGCACGAGAAAAGGAACGCCTTGGGCAGGAACTGGGGGCGAAGTCCCAGAGGGTGAGCGGTGTGGCGTTGCCGTCGACGGCGCGTCGTAAACGCCATCCGCAAGTGCTGCGCGAGGATGAACGCGACCAGGTCAACGTCCAGGGGGAAGAAGTCCACCACGAAGGCGACGAGCAACGTTGTGCCACCAGATGGTGAGGAGGGGCCCAAGAGATGAGGAGGACCACGAAGGCGATGTGCAGGGTTGTGCCACCGGGTGGTCGGAAGCGGCTTGGGGCGGTAGTCCAATCCACGTCTGGGGAGCAGCCGGCAAGAGGTGCGGCCAGAAACAGGGCCGTTCGTGTCCGACTGGATGTCGGCGGTGTGCAGGGGGGAAACCTGACATGCACAGTCAGCGCGTGAAGACGGGCGGGGGCCACGCACGATGCGCTGACGACCGCGTGGCCATGGGCCGGGCCCGAGCCGCGCTGCCCAAGGCAAGCGGGGCCGCCGAAGCGGCAAGGTGCAGTGCCCATCGCCGGGCCGAAGCCGCGCTGCGCCGGGCGCCGCCGCCGCGGGAGGGGGGGGGAGCGAGCGGGGGGGGGCGAAGCGAACAGGGGGGAGAGAGGCCGGCATCCCGCGCCAGCCGAAGTCGCGCCAGCCAGCACCGGGGTGCTCACGTGGGGACAAGCCCCAATGGGCACAGGTAGGACACAAGGTCCCATTGCAGGTGAAAGCAGGGCGTGCCACGCAAGTCGTCGGTGCACCAATGCGTCGCAGATGGGTGCAGGTTGGTCACAAGGTCCCAGATCCGTGAATACGGCAGAGGGGCAGGGAAGGGGAAGGGAAGGACGGGGCCCAGGTGGAAAGGGTAGGTAGCCAGCCCTTGGAACGCGGGCGCCACTTGGGCATTGGGGTGCAGGTGGTGGGGTAGGGGGGGACACGCGGTCGCCAGCCAGGTGAGAGAGGCGGGGTGGGGGTCGGGGGCGCAGGTGGTGTGGGCGACTGGCTGGCTGTGCTGCGGCGCCGCGGGGCCAGGGGGGGTCGGGTCGACGGCCGTCGGCGCCGCGGGCGCTTTCCAATCCAGGTGTCGCGGCGCCCGGAGCTGCGCGCCTGGTCCCCTTCGCGCCCGCAACCCTTTGCAACCTCCCTTTTCCTCTGTGCGTCCTGGTAACGCTTCTGCCCCCGCCCCCAGTCCACGTAGACGCCTGCGCTGCGGGGCCACGCCTCTACGCGATGGTTGCTGGTGCTCATGTCATCCAAGAATTTGTCGATGATCCAATGATGCCAGCGGCCCGGGTCGAAGGGCGCCTGGTCTTTGGATAT